TAGAAGTTACCTCTCCTTCCCAAAGTCGCTCAAACCTCCTCCGATACTCCTCCAACTTGTGTTGGGCAAGGTTGTCGCATGTTGTGTGTCCAAGCCACCTTATTATTAAGACAAGAATGAAACTACAATAAGATAAAACACAAGGCAAAATGTATTATGACTACATGATGGGGTATGAGAAGTTTACCTTGCTCCATAAGCTTCACCTCTTAGGGGATGATCGATTGGCCAATCCCTGTCTGGACGTTGGGCCGGTGCAAGCCATGGCATATGCTCCCAAGCCCAAAATTGGACGATGAACATTGCGCCGCCGACCTCCCCCACGGCTTTTAGAGACGCATTGCACAAGTTGTGGTAGATCATAGCTAGGCAAGCAGATGCCCAACTATACTCCCCCATCTCCTCCCAACTACTGAAGATGATCCTAAGCCATCCACAACTAAGGAGATTGCTTGCTTTCTTGGAGAAGAGCACTCCTCCGATCATGCCTATGAGATAGACACGAGCATATCTCTCCTTCTCATCCTCCGGACTTTCCTCCGTAAGCGGATGACTCTCGTAATGATCTCTAAAATACTTCGTCAACCATGTAATTGAGACTTGGTGTTTCCTCAATGGTGGCATGCGATCGGTCGCATCAACGCAACCCTTAACCGGTACTTTCACTCCCAAATGACTGTGGATGAAATGCTGCCAACCGGGCATACCGTCACAATCCTCGGGGGGATGATCACTCACGCACACCGGTTTGCCGTCGATGGGCAGATGGGTTAGGATGGCAACATCCTTTAGCGTGATGGATGCCTCTCCTTCTCTAAAGTTGAAACAATGGGTCTCCTTTCTCCATCTCTCGGCTAATGCGGTGATGAGTTGACGATCGATTTGGATGCCGTTAAAATGCCTAATCGAGTCTAACCGTGCCCTTTTGAGAAATGGCAAGATAGCGGGGTGGAATGGGAGCACATTTGTGGTACCCCTGTAGCGGATTATTGTTTGTGCCTCCTAGGTAAAATGTACACGTTAATTATTATTAGTAAGGGTTTTTTTTCGTATAACTAAATTAATTTAATTAAATTATGCGACATAAAACATAATTTTATTATCATAAAAAGACATTTCATATTACCTCCCTCCCATTGTCAATGAATAATAATTTCAAGAGGTACATACATATTATCGTAAAACAAACATACTGAATTAATTAACATAAATAACATTGTTAATGAATAATAATTTAAGTAGAAACATACATATTCAAATGTTTGTGTAAATAATTTAATCGTATTAGTTGTTTTAAAGAGGTACATACATATTATCGTAAAACAAACATACTAAATTAATTAACATAAATAACATTGTTAATGAATAATAATTTAAGTAGAAACATACATCTTCAAATGTTTGGTAAATAATTTAATCGTATTAGTTGTTTTAAATAATTTAATCGAATACAAAGCAACACTCGTTAGACTCTTAGAAGAGGTATACATCTTCTTAGAAACGCAGTCTTTTTGACAGAAAAAGGGGGGATCCGAGGATCTCTTAATACCCGATTTTCCCAGGTAATGGGAGGATATGATAATCGCTTAAAACCCCATTTCCTTAGACGTGCATCTCTTTATAAAGAGTCGAAGTAAGTGGCGCTATGTATTCGATTAAATTATTGAAAACCACCAACACGATTAAAAAATAAACATAAATTTATTTTATATTACACTAGGCACATTAACAAAATAAAAGAAGGACAAATGGTGAAGAATTGTATGTACTGGGTGATCGTCCAAACATCCCTTGACCGATGGTTGGGTTGGTCGTACAAGTCGGTTGGATCCACCGGTCCTTGCTCGAGATAATATCGTTGGTTGTATATATCGACGTCCTCCCCAACCTACGAGAAAATAACAACGAGGTTAGTACATAGATTAATTAAAAAACTTATAACAACAATAAAAATTAAACCAGAATAATGAGTACATACCGCTTGAAATTCATCGACATAAACTCCTTCTCCTTGCCACCAATCGGCCATTTTTTCGGCGTAATTCGGACAGAGCTTCGGCTTGGCTTGGCGGGTTTTTGAGGAAAAAACCTAAGAAATATTTTCTGATGGCAGATCGGACTTAGCCGCAACCAACAGACTTTTATTTCCTAGGCTTTTGGGAGGGGAGGGTTTAGAGAGATTATATCTAGAGAGAGAAGGAGAATGGGTTGTGTGGAGTGAAGAAATGAGAGGGGGAGGGGGGGTATTTATACCCAACAGATCGCACCCCTCATGGGCGGTAGGGTAATTTTACCCCGCAGAAATCGCATCTTCCCGGTGCGATCTACACGCCAAATCGCATTCCCCTGATGCGATCCCCGCGTCCCGATGCGTTGAAAGCGCAGAAAACTGACGCTCCAATTTTCCAGGCGAGAAATCGCACCTCACCAGTGCGATCCACACACAGTCGCGCGGATTGCTGACGTGGCTATGCTGCAGCCCGTCAGATCGCATCTTAATCGTGCGATCCAGAAGGTCGCTGGCGACCAAATATGGAACGCATCTTGGGGATGCGTTTTACCTTAGAAATCGCATCTTAGGGGTGCGATTTATGAAGGAAACGCATCCTAAGGCTGCGTTTCATTTATAAAACGCACCCCTAAGGTGCGTTCCATTAAAATAGGTGCTAGTTTTGTAATTAGTTTTGGAAGGGTGCTAGTTTTGTAATTTTTTTTTAAAGATGCTATTATTGGAAAAATCTCCTAGCGTCAGCGGCAATGCTAAAAAATATATTATTTTAATGAGTTAACAACTACGTACTAGAATACGATATCAACTATAACAATCGACAAAATTCACCTAATCATAAAATTACAAATGATTTCTTTACATAACTCTAAATAGAAACAAAACACAAGTCGATCAACAGACCAAAACAATCAGAATTCCCTTTTTGCAAAAATGAAACAACTTCATCCCAACATTCAATACACACACCATATGGATAGATTTCATGCCCTAAATTCATCAAATTACACACACACAAAAAATCCTTCTCCAAAAACCTCCCCCTAGAGCTATAAATAAACTCCCTAAACCCACAAATTATCACACAATCCCATCATCATCAAATATCAATACACATTACACAAACTAGTATCGCCATGGCGCCCAAAGCAACTTCCTTGGTGTTCATCCTGGCCCTGGCCGTCACGCTGTCCACAATCGCCGAGTCCCGGAATCTGAAGCCGGCCGAACAGTCGCCGGAGGAGTGCTATGCTGCCATATTCAAGTTCCCTTCGTGCTTGTTCGAGATCATCGGAGCAGCCCAAGGCGGCGCCGGCGGGTCGGTGCAGATCTCGGCTCCCTGCTGCAGTGCCTTCACTTCTCTTACTCAGGACTGCCAGTTTCAGTTCAGCGGGAACCTCCTGCCGGTTATTCAGAAGTCCTGTGGCGCTGCCGTCGGTGGGCCGACAGGCGAAGTGCCGCCGAGCCCGCCGGCGCCTCCGACTGAGCTGGGTCCTGCTGCTGCTCCGGTTTGAGTGGGTGTTGGATTTTATGTTGAGACATATGTTGTGATTCCAAGTTCGGTGCAGCGGAAATAAAAACAAAATACGTTGTGGTTAATTATTGTTTATTGACATTCAATGGAATGATTTGTTTAACGAGTGTTGAAGTTTTGAGCATCCAATTTGCTGCAAAAAGCCACTCTAAGAAAGCTGTGTGATAATTTGGTAGTCTTGTGACAATCTAATGATAATGAGGTGGAGTGATGTAAGTTTTTTTGGGTTGAGATTGGTTTGAAGGGGAGGTGTTAAAAATCAAAACGAATTTGGTATATGGATCCGGTGTTTGAGAAATTTGAAAGTTGTGATTCTTACAAGGGGTTAATGTCAGAAAATCTTTCGATGAACAAGCTAATTAGGGAAGCATAAAAAACATATAATGAATCTGACATTTACACCCAGCGTTTGAGAAATATGGAAATTGTGATTCATAAAAGGGTTAGTGTCAGAATTTTTTTTTTAAGAACAACATAAATGTGAAAATTTCCAAGAGGTTAAATTAATTGGGTAACGAACAATTACTTATTTTTAGAATATTTGTATGATGGAGTGAGATGGTTAGGGTTTGCTCATTTTTTTATCATTCTAGACAATATTATCTATATTATATATGAAATTCGAACTTGAACTCTATTTACGATTTATTGTTTGGGACCTTTCTGCAGATCGATTTCCACCTAGCTATTATTGTATTGATATTATTTAGTTCTATTTTGATTTTTTCAGAGACGAATTCGGTATATTTTCACATCTCTAATCTTCACATTGACTGTCCACGTGATGTCAATGTGTTACTATCCCTTATTTCTCGCCTATTTTCGTGCCTTTATTCACTATAAAATTCTATCTTTTGTGTGTATCTATCTATGTACCTTAGAAGAACATATGAGTCCTAAGCGCCATTTGTCGATTTCATGTAATACTTTCCTTGAATGCTGCAAAATCATAAGTGATAGATTCTTCTAACTAGAAAATGGCAAGAACTTTTTTTCCAGAACAACACTTGATTAGTGATGCAAGACTAGCACATCAATATAGAGAACACTAAAATCTGAGTACACATCTACAAAGTTAGTATCTTTCCAAGTTTTGAGGAAACGAGATTTGTACCTAATCAAGTATGTTTAGACCTACAAAAAATGCTCTACTTAATTCCCATCCCTGAAAAGCTATAAAATCACATAATCAACACCTGCCAGCCTAAACCATATCCCTTAAGGCTTAAAAATACACAAAATTCCCACATTATGAACATTCCTTCTGCGACACTCCCGCCAGATTCATGCAAATTTTTTGAAAAGATCCGACCGTATAAAGAAAACCCACCAAATCATCGATTCTCCACCGTTACTAGATCCTTATCCAGACCTCTCTTCCCATTTCATATAAATTCCTCCAACCCACTTCGCCAAATCTCATCACCACCTTCTCAATTCACTTTCATTACATCCAAAATGGCGCCCAAATCATCATCATCATCATCATCATCAGCTAGCTTCCTTGCTCTGTTTCTGATCCTAACCATCTCCGCCGCCGCGATAGCCCGGTCGGAGGAGAGGCTGCAGCCGGAAGCCGCGGCGGGCTGCTGGAAGGAAATCTACCAAATCCCCAACTGCCTCCTCAGCATCATCCGCTCCTTCTTGCCCGGCGGCGGCAAAGGGTCGTCCATCGAGAACGGCGTCGGCGTCCCCTGCTGCAAGGCTTTCCTGTCGCTCACAGGGGACTGCCAGGTCGAGATTTTCCAGAACAGCTCCGTTATCCCCCTGATCGAGGTTTTCTGCAATGCCGTCGTCGGTTCACCGCCGGAGAACGGGGGAGACATGCCGGAGCCAGAGCCAGAGCCTCCAGTAATGTCCCCTGCCGCTGAGGAATTGGGTTCCACTTTCCCTTGGCCAACAGCTCGCCTGGTTTAGAAGAGTCTTAATGATGGGAGTGATTTGAGGGGATGTATGATGAATTGATGATGGTGAATAAGTTTGTGAGAGAGGGGAAGGGAAGAATTTTATGTAATTATGTTACAGTTGGGATTTGGGTGGGGATGGAGAGGATATTCCTGCTCGTATTTCCATATTCGCCTTGCATGGGGTGAGGATGGAGAGGATAAGAAGTTAATTAGTAATTTACAATGAGGAAAATGACTAATATAGGGCAATCCGCTCCAAGTCTTCCTACTTACATCCCAACTGACAAGGAGATGTTAAAATGCTTAAATGAATGGGTTAAGAGGCTTTTTTTAGTATGCTATATAGTATGAGTGATTTACTATACTTATAGCCATTAAATCTTGTTAAATATTGTGAGCCATTGGATCTTGTTCAATTAATTAATTATTTTATTTTATTTTATTCTAGTATTGGCTACCTGTTTCACCGGTTGACAAGTTAATAATAATTAAAAAATTAAATTAGAAGCTTCAGTAACTTCTCCGTTCCAATTCTCTTCGACGACTTCTATTCAAAAAAAAAAATTTCGACGACAGTGAGCAGAGGCTGACGGCAAGAGAGTGTGACGAGCAGGGGGCGACACGGATTCTGAAATAGATCGACGGCGAGTGCGACGCTGGGTAAAGGAAGAAATAGTGTTTCGTGGCATCTCCAGTCGATATAGAAGGGGGTGAGCAGGTCGACGGTGAACCAAATTCTAAAATAGGATTTTCGCGGTGTCTCCTCTCCCGCGATTGTGCTTCGTCGCCTCTTTGTCGTGCCACCGGCACGAAGACAATGGTGGCGTTTCCTCATCGATAGTGAAGGTGGCGACATCGACGACGAACTGGATCTTCAAATAGGTTGACGACGACACTGTAACTAGGGACTGAGCATGGGATTCATTGGGTCTTCAATTGGTTGAAGCTTTGCTGTGTTTCTTCCTTCAAGATTTCAGGTAATAAAGAGGATCCTCAGATTCTGAATGTTTCTCCATTTCTCACTTCAAATCCTTCTTCTTTCTCATCGTCTGACTAAAAGAACCCCAAACTCGGCCCTCATTTGTAGAGACAACTATTCCTTCTTTTTACATCATTTTAGCTCACTATAAGTTTCAATTATGATTGTTCTTGTATAATGCTTCTGGGTTTCATGGAAAGTGTATGAAATATGATGAATTGGAGATCATCATTAGGAATTCAAGATTTTCTGTGAGTGTATCGTCAATTGGGTTTGTTTGTGTTTTGCTGCATTGATCATTACCATGGACATTCATAACCTTAAACGATATTGCTACTTCTGTCTAGTTGATAATCCAGTCGATTTGTAGTCTTGTATTAGGATTGTAGGTGTCACAAAAAGACTAGAAATGCAGGTTGTGTTTAATCCTGTACTATCTGGTCTTGTGTTCAATCCTGTACTATCTGGTTATCACTCTCAATGAAATTAAATCCTCTTCTGTTGTAGATAATGACTCGTAGATTGCATGTCAATAGTCTTGGATTAGTGTAGTTGATACTCTCTGCAAAAACTGTTGATCTATGGTGTTCATGCCATCTTGTATGCCCTCTGGTTTGTGGGGTGATGAAATTGCTTACCAAGACGAAAAGGAAAGAAAGAAAACAAAAAAATCAAACAGAGCATAATAGAGAGATAGTAGAGGTAAAGCAAAGACATGTTAATCTCAGAAACTGAAACAGTCCACGGTTTATTACAGTTGCACAAGACATAGTGAAATATATGAACAGATTTTGATATTAGAGCATTCATAGACAGGATTTATATCCTACAAGGATCATACAAATTGACTATTTTCCTGGAGGAGTATAATAGCTGACCTGATTAGTAGGGTTAGAGCACCCTCTATCCTACTTTCCTTTAGTTGTATCGTTCGTCGATTTATCATAAGAATTGTTCTGCATCCAAGTGTTTGCTGAAATACACCATGATTGCTTCTGGCTTCCATGTGTTTGACGTTATGTCCGTGTGGAATACTGAACTAGGAAAACAACGAGCCTGAATTACTTAATGCCCCATCCGTAGTACGTAATAGTTAATACAGTAGGAATCCTTTCTTTCTTCTAGGATGCTTTTGTACTCCCACAAGGATTTGCAGTATTAGCATCACCTTAATCGTAACCTGTCTATGATTTTGTTGTTTACGTGAGTTGACTTTTATTTTTTGTATTATGTGTAGGGATTTTGATCTGGTAACTCTTTCAGCTGCTACACATTGGGTTTAGAATTCAATTTCTCTTGTGATAGAGATGCAATCTCAGTCTTCCATTCCAGGCAAGTTACTGAAATCTCGCCCTTTTAACTTCAGCAGTGAATTGTTATTCAAGATTGTTTGTCTGTGCCTCTTTGATATCTACTCGTGACACTTACCCTGATGTTGATTGTGCTTTCGGTCATCACAATTATGACCTGCATATTTGGAAGTAGTTGTACTTTGCTGTATGGAAGAGCTACTGTGTGATTGATGGTGTGAATTTAATTGGTACTTTTACGCAATGGATATGCTTCTGCTTTTTGATTGAATGCGTGCATGGTTAGCGCCCAACTTATGCTCTCTTCTATCTATAGTGATGACAATGTCAGTATAGTGCATTATTGGTGTGGTTAAACAAGTCTATGCCTATCAACGTGCTACATCAAAACCTCAATCACATATATTATGATTAGAACTATTAACCTAGCCTACAACCATTTGGAATGGATTTGTGCTTCCTAGCCTGTTGAAGTAGAGGTTTTGTTTGCACAAATTTGTAATCAAGACTTACGTTCATCATTTCCTTATGAATTATATGTTGTGATGTGCAAGCTGAAGCAATGTATAGAGTAGCACTCAATAATCATTTCCTTTCATCCTTTCTTATCATTAGTTTACTACCAATCTCAATACTGTTTATCTTAACTAACTATATATAGAACCTTCTGCTGAAAGAACAACATAGAAACCAATCTCAGCATTCCCCCTTATCTGGATATTGTTCTACTATGATGACTTGCAAGCCGAAGCTAAGAATAGATTCTAGGAAACAATAATTATTTTTCAAAACTTTACTAGATATCAATTTTCCCGTCACTATCTTAACCAGTGACGGAGCCAGAAAATTGACCAAGGAGGTGCTTCCATGAAAAAATGTCACGCCTGTGAAATTTCCAGAATTAGCCATGAGAATGTTTAGTGGAATTTGGGTGTTTTTAGTTTCACGACTTAGTTTAACGGCCGTGATTTATGAAGCCAAAGCCGTGAGATTGCTTGGGGATATGAAAACTGCTCTTTACTTCTCACGGGGCATGTCACGCCCGTGAGAATTGAGAATGAACCGTGTGAACTTTTTAATGAAAGCTGGGTGTTTTGGGTGAAATTTATATATGCCAATGGCGGATTTCATGGTTAATTAGTGTACTCAGGTATTGAGGTAGGGGTTTTCAGTTCTTCTGGTAGTTGGAACTTGATACCGAGGCAAGTGTGCTTGTGAGATCTGGTATACTCTTGCATTTTTTCAATATTGATAAAAGCCATATATTGAAAACCAGTATTGAACTCATTACCTGGAGAATGTGTTTACCAAATGATTAAATGATCCTTTTCTAGAATGAAAGTTTGTCATAACCACGTTTTCTAGAATGTGTTTAACTGTGAAAGTTGCTTCTTTAGATCAGTGGAGGACGACTCTAGCTTTGTGTATTTTGTTTGTAGTCTTCAGCATGCTTATAATTCGTGTTTCAAGGCATGCTTATAATTTTGTTGTTGTTTTAATTTTGCAGTTTGTTAAAATTGTTCTATAATGAAGACGAAGAGGCATGACCTTTTTAGCACGCAATGTTCTCCAAGGAAAGTATTCTCCCTAGTCTCAAATTTAGAGGCTTGTCAATCAGAGGCCATTAAGAGATGTGGCTTTGGTCGGATTCTTGAAGTCAAAGGAAGAATGTTACAACGTGAGTTGTTGGAGAAACTTTTAAAGAGCTTTAATCTGGAAGAAAGCACAATTAAGGCGTATGGGCTGAAAGTGCATATTTCGGCCAAAGATTTCCAGCGAATTATGGGTTTCCCCGAGGGAGGGACGGATATCGTCTTGGATGGTGAAGAAGTGGTTGGAAGATCCGAGGAACTGAAAGAATTTAGAGTTTATTCGACTCGTGACTGTGATCGACAGGCGATTTCCACAAGCTTAATGCGAAAGACGTTGTTGAAGATAAAAGAGAGCAGCGACCTATTTGTTAAAACTTTTATATTGTACGTAATGGTGGTGCTATTAGTACCTACTAGAAGAGATGACATTTCGTTATCTTCGGTATACGCTGTCACCGATGTTGCGGACATTCCGAAGAAGAATTGGGCATCCTATTGCTTCAATGTATTGGTGAAATGCATCTGCAACCATAATGTTGATGGGAAAAAGTATATACATGGTTGCTTGCTGTTTTTGGAAGTAAATAATTGATAATCCCTAATTTCTACATATTCGTAATGATTAATCATCATGTTGATTATATCTTTTTTGTAGTTAATATTCTTGAAGCATGCAAATGGTATTTTCCACACCATTGATGGAAGTTTGGATTTGATGAGTTGGGGGAGCGGAGACGTAGATGTATTGTTAACGAAAGTGGTAAGACTGATAGTGCAAAATGGTATATTTGATTCTTTTGACAAGTTGGAGCATGCTAATGGTACATTTGGTTCCCTTTTTAATTAATTTATAGGTTTTCAGCAGTTCGAGGAAAAGATCATCTGAGGATGAAGGTTTGAAATCACCTCCAAGGAAACGGGAAAAAAGAGACGGGAAACGGCACAAAACCGACGGGGATGAGTTGCTTCTCTGTGAGCGTATTGATGCGTGGTTTAGTAGCATGGAGGCTAGATTTGACAACTTCAATCAAGAATTTAAAGTCTCAATGGGTGATGCTGCTTCTAGAGGTGAGGAGCTAATGGGCCGGGTTATGAAAATGGAGAACGAATTTCGGGCATTTAGAGACAA